AACCACACCTGGTCCCACCCCAGGTGAGGTTTTTCTGTCCTTTCATCTCGGCCGGAGGACACACTTAGCTTATTGGCCTCCGTGAGTGGGCAGCTTGGGCACCAGGAAGGCAGGGCTGAGCAGGGTGCCAACTGGAGGTGCTGGGCGCTTCTCAGAAGAGGTTTGCTTCCTACTGGTGGGGGAAGGGGGGGGTGCTGAGGCAGCTGCAGGCCTGGGAACCTTGGTGGCCTTGGGCCAGGAATTTGGCTGAACTCCCGAGGGTGGAAAGGCCGGCTCTGGGGCGGAGTGGGGAGAGAGAGAGAGCTACCGTGTTTATACTGTCATGCTCAGCTTTGCACGGAAGCTCTGCGGGGATCAGGTGCAGCCTGTAGCTCTCTCACCTCAGCCAGGTAAGGAGCCACCTTTAAGGTCTCCTTCTCCACATCCTGGCATCCTTGGTAGAAACTTTTCCAGTGATGGAAACTCTGCCAGTGATGGAATTGGGCTTGGAGGTGAGGGTGTGGGGGTTCTCACCTACTTTCTACCTCACCTGGGGAAGTTTGTGAAGTACAGGTAGTCCTCAACTTACAACGGTTCATGTAGGGACCGTTTGAAGTCACAGCAGCATTGAAAAAAGTGACTTATAGCACTTAGCAGTACCACTTTTCAGCTCTCTCTAAGCCGTTTATAGAGTCAGCCTCTTGGCCCCCAACAATCTGGGTCCTCATTTTACCCACCTCGGAAGGACGGAAGGCTGAGTCAACCTTGAGCCAGACAGGATCAAACTCCTGGCTGTGGGCAGAGTTAACCTGTAATACTGCATTCTCACCGCTATGGCACCATGGCCCTTCCTTCCTTCAATTCATTTCATCTATTTATCTACTCATCTTCCTTCCTTCCTTCTTTCCTTCCTCCCTCCCTCCCTTCAATTCATCTATTTATCTTCCTTCCTTCCTTCATTCCCATTTAGCAATATTAATCCAATATCAGGGGTTTTCAGTTTAATTGTATAGAATGTGGTTTTTGGTTTATTTTTATAGTTTTCTTATGTATGATGTACACTGAAGATGGCATTTAATTTTGTTGTATGAGGTGCAATGACAATAAAGTAACCAAATAACTTAGACATATATACTGCTTCACAGCCCTGTCTTAAGCAGTTTACAAATATCAGCCTCTTTCCCCCAACAATCCGGGTCCTCATTTTACCGATCTCGAAAGGACGGAAGGCTGAGTCAGTCTTGAGCCGGTCAGAATTGAACTACTAGCAGTGGGCAGAGTCAGTCTGCAATACTGCATTCTCACCACTATGCCACTACGATTTATGACTGTTTTTCACATTTATGACCGTTGCAACATCCCAGTGGTCATGTGATCAAAATTCAGACCCTTGGCAACCTGCTCCTGTTTATGACGGTTGCTGTGTCCCGGGATCACATGTTCTCCTTTTGCGACCTTCTGACAAACAAAGTCAGTGGGGGGAGCCTGATTCACTTAACAACCCTGTTACTAACTGTGGTGATTCACTTAAAAACGGTGGCAAGGATGGTCGTAAAATGGGGCAAACCTCACTTAACAATTGTCTTGCTTAGCAGTGGAAATGTTGGGCTCAACTGTGGTCGTAATTCGAGGACTCCCTGTACTGAGAGTCTCCAGGGTTGTAACTAGCTGGTGGGCAGCTTCTACCAAGCAAAGCCCAAATCAGGATGGATGGAGATGGAGGGCACAGCTGCCAGGACACATTTCTGGCTCCAGACAGGGCTGCCATCTTGACTTTTTTGACTCCTCTCGGGCTGGACGCCGTGCGGTAGCTTGTCTGAAGGCCTGCGAGGGCTTTGTGAGTGAAGGGAAGAGCCAGTTTTGCCCCACTACCCACCCTGCCCCCCTGCTGGTCCGACCAAGCCCCCCAGGGTTCTGTCTGGAAATCTTCCTCTTCGTTCCCATCAATCCATATCAATATCAATCAATCAATCAGAATAAGGCTGGAAGGGGCCTTGGAGGTCTTCTAATCCAGCCTTGGCCACTTTACAACCTGTGGACTTCAACTCCCAGAATTCCTCAGCCAGCAAAGTCTGGGGGTTGAAGTCCACAAGTCGTAAAGTTGACAAGGTTGGAGACCCTTCTTCTAGTCCAGTGTTTCTCAACCTTGGAAGCTTGAAGATGGGTGGACTTCAACTCCCAGAATCCCCCAGCCAGCATTGCTGGCTGGGGGATTCTGGGAGTTGAAGTCCACCCATCTTCAAGCTACCAAGGTTGAGAAACGCTGCTCTAGTCAACCCCCTGCTCAATCTGGCAAGGGATTTTTAAAAAGGAGACCGAAGACTAACGGAGCAGTAATAACTGTCCCTCAATCTGAGAAATTATGGCCTGCCGATCTCCCTGTCAGTGCGGAAAGTGGCACAGCCTGCAAAGCTGGAGAGGGGTGACTCTTCTCAGCTCATCCCCAGGGGTTCCTGCACTGCCGTGGGGTGCTCTTCGGTGGATTCCTCCCCCTTTATGTCTGGGGCTCTGCACAGAGACCACCAGCCCACCTGGAGGGGCTCTGTGGGGGGGCCCTCTTGGCTCAGGGAAGTCTGGAGGGCATCAGACTTTTTTGGGTAGCCTGCAGTGAGTTGAGCGTTGATAGGCGTGCCAGAGAGTTGATAGGCGCTGCCTCGTCTCCTGTCCCGGCTTCACCCATGCTCAGGATACAACCTGTTCCTCAGGTTTGCAGGTGAGCATGTTTGCTCTGTGCCATTCAGCCGGATAGAGCTCCGGATCACATTTCCTGGATTGCCCCAGCTGGCTTGGGACCCACCCTGGGCCACTCCGCCTCTCCCTCCTCTCCGCAAGGGTAACGGTTCCCTTGGAGGTGACCTGCCAGGGAGGCATTTGTCTTGGCACCTGCAAAGCCACCTTCTTGGCCAACCTGGGCAGTTTAAAAGCGCCTGGCTCACCTTTACAGGTGTACGCAACAACTCAGCGCTGTGCAAGGTGTAAGGGAAGCCAAGAGTGAATGCCAAGAAATGGCATTCTAATGAGGATTTTCCGTATGGGCAGGATGGGGACCCTGCATCCAGTTTTGGTCAACATACTACAAAAATGATATTGAGGCTTTGGAAAAAGTGCAGAGAAGAGCAACTAGGATGTTTAAAGACTAAAACGTATGAAGGACGGTTGCAGGATTTGGGTTTGGATAGTCTAGAGAAAAGAAGGAATGAAGGGGGACATGAGAGCAGTGTTCTGGTATTTGAGGGGCTGCCCCAAAGAAGAGGAGGGGGCCCACCTATTCTCCAAAGCACCAGAAGGCAGGACAAGAAGCAACGGATGGAAACTAATCAAGAAGAGAAGCAACCTGGAACTAAGGAGCAATTTCCTAACAGTGAGGATAATTGACCAGTGGAACAGCTTGCCACCAGAAGTTGTGAATGCTCCAACACTGGAGGCTTTTAAGAAGACATTAGACAGCCATTTGTCTGAAATGGTCTGGGGTCTCCTGCTTGAGCAGGGGGTTGGACTGGAAGACCTCGAAGGTCCCTTCCAGCTCTATTCTGATTGATTGATCCCATGCTGTGTTTGATGCAAGGGGGGAGGTCCACAAGAGCGGGGAGGGGGGCTTCTAGATGCAGCCTTTCATCCCTCAGTCTCTATGGAGATTCTCCATCGTCCAGGTCACGGTTGTCCCAAAGGGGCTTTTTCCAAAAGGCAACTGGATTTTCTTGGGGTTTTTTTCCTTTTGAAATGGTTTTGCTTCTCATCCAGGAAGCTTCTTCAGTTCATGAAGGACTGAATGACGAACTGAGGAAGCTTCTTGGATGAGGAGCAAAAGTTTTTCAAAGAGCCAAGGAAGCCCAGTTGCCTTTTGGGAAAAGCCCCGCTGGGACTTCCATCCCTCCAGATGTGCTGCCTATTGAAGAGATTCTCCCAGAAGCCCAGCAAGGTCAGGGGGATTCTGGGAGTTGGAGTTCAGTTTCTCTGCAGGGCATCCGCTTGTGGTCCCAAGACATTGCGACCGTCATAAGTGTGAGTCAGTTGCCAACTGTCTGAATTTTGATCACGTGACCACGGGGTTGCTGCAAAAGTCGTAACGGTGAAAACTGGTCATAAGTCACTTTTTTCAGTGCCGTTGTAACTGTTGTAAGTCAAGGACTACCTGTACAATGCCATACCATACAAAATACCAAAGAAAAAAATATAAATACAAATAAAATGCACCCTTTGGGCCAAGATAGGGTGCAGCCATTGCAAGCAACTGGCAGTGCCCAGATGCCACCTGTTCTTGAAATGGATCCAGGGGTTGGGTGGGGTTTAGAGCACCAGGAAGCCGGTTTACTAAGGCAGCATTTAACATCCAGCTGCCTGCAATTACTGCGAGTTCAATTCTCACCAGGCTCAAGGTTGACTCAGCCTTCCATCCTTTCTAAGGTAGGTAAATTGAGGACCCAGTTTGTGGGGGCAATAAGCTGCCTTTGTATAAATATACAAAAGTATGAAGGCTATTGCTGAGCACATTGTAAGCCGCCCTGAGTCTCCGGAGAAGGGCGGCATATAAATATAAATAAAAATAAAATAAAAAAATTTTGGGGGGTGGGGGTGGAGGAGCATCCTGGCCGAGCCTTTCGGTTGCTGCTCTCCAGGGGTGCTCAGCCTTGGCATCCCTCCTCTGCCCCTTCCTCCGGGTGCAAGTGAGGGCGAGGCAGCCAGCCAGCCCTTCCCTCCCTCCCTCTGCCACCTGGGCATCCTGCCCACAGTTGGCACTCAGAGCCTTGGTGGGACAGCTCGTTTCAGCTTTGTTCCCGCGTCGTTGTTGGTCTGGCTGGTGTGAGGGCCAGATCCTTTCAGCCGCCTGCACAAAGCCCTGCTTTCTTCCAGCCAGTCTCCTCCCTCCGGCCCCGGGTTAAAAGGAGCAGCGCCCTCCTCTCTCTGCCCATGTGGGAGCAGCTGCTCGCCTTGCCTGGGAGACCGGTGGGTCCCTCCTTTTGCAGGGGGAGGGGGGGCAGGGAAGGCGGCCAAGGGGGAGGGAAGCCTTCAGCCCAAGGCTGGGAAAAGACTCAGGGGGGAGTCTTGGCCTCCCCCCCCAAATCTCCAGCCACTTGGGAAGGGAGAGGCTTTGGCCACCTGTGCAGTGGATCCGCCTTCCCTCCCCCAGCTGGGATCCCAAACAGCGGATCTCTTGTCCGTGCAGCTGCTGAAGCCATCGGGGCTCATGCCGAGGATTCGCTTTGCCAGGGTGGTCCTGAGCAGCAGGCTCCCCGGGGTCGAGGCGAGGGGGCTACTCTGCTCGGTGCCCCCCTTGCTCAGCCCCAAACCGCCTTTGCATTTCAGGGCGCTGCAGCGGCAGGCGGAGCAGCCGGGCATGGCGGACAACCGGGCAGTGCCCAGGGACAAAGTCCTGACTCTGGAGTCCATGAACCCCCATGTCCGGATGGTGGAGTACGCTGTGCGGGGGCCCATCGTTGCCCGGGCCAATCAGCTGAAGAAGGAGCTGAAGCAGGTAAGCCAGGCAACTGACTAGATCACTTGTCTGTTCATGAGTCCAAAGATTGGAAAGTGGGGTCTTGGCTTCGTGGTTTTCTTCATTTATTGGCTTTAGTTTAGTTTAGTTTAGTTTAGTTTAGTTTAGTTTAGTTTAGTTTAGTTTAGTTTAGTTTAGTTTAGTTTAGTTTAGTTTAGTTTAATTATTAAATCTATATCCCGCCCATGACTCTTACCCAAAATTATTCTGGGCAGCTTCTTTCAACACTGGCAGTTTTTTTCTTGACTGTCCTGGAATACAGGAGTCCCTAACTTGCAACAGTTCACTCAGTGATCATTTGAAGTTACAACATCACTGAAAAAAGTGACAGGACCATTTTTCCCACTTACAACGTCTCTGCATCCATAGGGGCCCATGATCGAATTTGGGACTCTTGGCAACTGACTCACAGTCACCGGTGAAGCCAGATTCGCTTAAGTACCTAACAACTGCAGTGATTCACTTAACAACGGTGGCAAGGAAGGTTGTACAATGGAACAGAAATTCACTCAACGCCTGTCTTGCTTGGCATCAATATTTTGGGCTCAATTGTGGTCGTAAGGCGAGGACCAGCTGAAAAGCAGTATCTGCTCAATGCACCCTGATCCAACTAAAGAAAAAGGACCTCGAAGCCACCCAAGGCACGAAGACGCTCTCAGATGATGGGATGCCAGCAGTGAAGAGGCCCTCTGGAATGAAGGGCCGTCTTCTTCCTGGGCATCAATCAGGACAGAGCTGGAAGGAACAGTTGGAACAATTAACCAGTGGAACTACTTGCCTCCAGAAGTTGTGAATTCTCCAACAATGGAAGTTTTTAACAACAAGGCTGGACAACCATTTGTCTGAAGTGGTGTAGGGTTTCCTGCCTAGAAGGCCTCCAAGGTCCCTTCCAACTCTGTGATTCTATTCTAGTCCAGCCCCCTGCTCAAGCAGGAGAGCCTCTACCACTTCAGACAAGTGGCTGTCCAGTTTCTCCTTAAAGGCCTCCAGTGATGGAGCTCACACTACCTCTGGAGGCAATGCTGTCCCACCGTTCAGCTCTCCTGCCCCAGGTTGATCTGGAAGGACCCTTCCTAAGCCCATCTCTTGGGTCATCTCCCAGTTGTCTTGGTGGCTCCAGACCTGCTGGCCTCTTGAGGTCTTCTGGAGGACCTCTTGACCTCATTTCGGATGACTCCGCTTCCTAGACTGCAGAGATAGGCTGACCGCTCATAGAGCAGCCTTGGAGGCTGTTGGGTGCTTGGCTTCCTCTGAGTTGGGGTGGCTGGGATGAGCCTGGCCTGACCATCTTGGCATCTCAAACCTCCAGACCGTCAGGTCAGTTGGTCCTGGGCAGTTGTTCCAGCATATCTGTCCATTCGGATATTCAGGGACTACCATTCCCATTAGTATAGGCAACTCTATGGGCCTGGTGGCTCAGCAGACGGATAGCATTGTGATTAACACCAGCTGTCTGCAATTACTGTAAGTTCGAATCTCGCCAGGCTCAAGGTCGACTCAGCCTTCCATCCTTTCTAAGGTAGGTGAAATGAGGACCCAGATTGTGGGGGCAATAAGCTGCCTTTGTATAAATATACAAAAGGATGAAGGCTATTGCTTAACGCATTGTAAGACGCCCTGAGTCTCCGGAGAAGGGCGGCATATAAATCAAATTAAAATAAAAAAAACCTCCACAAAATGAATGTTCATCCAGTACCACTTTATTCTGCACTGGGAAGACCACACTTGAGAGGCTTTGAGGGGCTGCCCCAAAGAGGAGGAGGGGGCCAATTTATTCTCCAAAGCACCAGAAGGCAGGAGAAGAAGCAACGGATGGAAACTCATCCAGGAGAGAAGCAACCTGGAATTAAGGGAGAACCTTCCTAACAATGAGGACAATTAACCAGTGGAACAGCTTGCCACCAGAAGTTGTGGGTGTTTCATCAGTGGAGGTTTTTTTTAAGAAGAGATGACCGTTTGTCTGAAATGGTACGGGGTCTCTTGCTTGAGCAGGGGGCTGGACCAGAAGACCTCTAAGATCCTTCAGGGTTGATTCTGATTGATTCTGATTCTGGAGTACTGCATCCAGTTTTGGTCGCTATGATGTAAAAAAAGATGTGGAGACTCTAGAAAGAGTGCAGAGAAGAGCAACAAAGATGATTAGGGGACTGGGGGCTAAAACATATGAAGAACGGTTGCAGGAACTGGGTATGTCTAGTTTAATGAAGAGAAGGACATGAGAGCAGGATTCCAGTATTTGAGGGGCTGCCCCAAAGAAGAGGGAGTCAACCTCTTCTCCAAAGCACCAGAAGGCAGGACAAGAAGCAATGGATGGAAACTAACCCAGGAGAGAAGCAACCTGGAATTAAGGAGACATTTCTTGATAGAATAATTAAACAGCAGATCAGCTTGCCTTCAGAATTTGGAGATGGGATGGCATAGGTCTGAAGAATATTGAGAGTTGAAGTCCACAAGCTGTAAAGTTCCCAAGATTGGACACTCCTGGTATAGAGTCTCCTGCTTGAGCGAGGGTGGGAGGGTGGGGGGGTTGGGGGTTGGGAGGGGGGTTGGATTAGAGGATCTCCAAGGCCCCTTCCAACTGATTCCGGTGTCCTCTGCCTGCAGAGGGACGATCCACAAGTCTATGTGAGGGGAGAGGAGCCATGACAGCCCCCCCTCCCTTGAGTGCCTGAGAAACTGCCTTAACTTTTAGGCAAATACTGTGCAATCATTTTCAAGGCGATAAGGAGGCCTGCAAAGGCACCCAAGGACAGGGGAGTGGGGGAGGCTGACCTCGAAGTCAGAATAACAGGGTTGGAAGGGACCTTGGAGGTCTTCTAGTCCAACCCCCTGCTCAAACAGGAGACACTTCAGACAAGTCCAGACTTTGTTCAGTCTCTTCTTGGAAACCTCCAGTGATGAGAGACCCACAACTTCCGGTGGCAAGCTGTTCCATGGGTTAATTGTCCTCATGGTTAGGAGGTTTCTCTGGATGAGTTTCCATCCGTTGCTTCTCATCTTGTCTTCAGGTCCTTTGGGGAATAGGTGGACCCCCTCGTCTTTGGGGCAGCCCCTCAAATATTGGAACCCTGTCAGGGAGCCTCTGATTGCCATTGGAGTTTTCCCCGCAACCTGTTCACCCAACCCTCGGACAAGGCCGGGCCAAGACTCCACCGAGGGCCTCCGACCAGGGGCTTGGCAACCTTGGCTCCTTTCTTTTGGGGGGGGGGCTTCGTTCTCCATTGAATGCCTTATATCACAGGGTGCCCAACCTTGGCAACTGCAGAATTCCCCATTACAGGTAGACCTCGACTTACGACCACAATTGAGCCCACACTTTCTGCTATTAAGCAAGATGATTGTTAAGTGAGTTTTGGCCCATTTTACCACCTTTCTTGCCACAGAATTTAATTTAATTTAATTTAATTAATTAAATTTATATGCCGCCCCTCTCCGAAGACTCAGGACTCTCACAATACATTTAAAAAATCATTATAAAAAGACATTGAAAAATTTAAAACATTAAAAACATTAAAAACTCAAAGAATCATGGCAGTTAAGTAACATGGTTGTTAAGTGAAGCCGGCTTCCCCAATGACTTTGCTTGTCAGACGGTCACAAAAGGGATCATGTGATCCAGGACACGGCAACCGTCATAAATATGAGTCAGTGGCCAAACGTCTGAATGTTGATCATGTGATCACAGGGATGCTGCAATGGTCGTAAATGTGAAAAATGGTCATAAATCAGTTTTTTCATCCCGTTGTAACTCAGAACGGTCACTAAATAAACTGTTGTAAATCGAGGACTACCTGCACGGAAAATGACAATTAATCTTAATCTTAATCTTAATCTAATCTTAATCTTAATCTTAATCTTAATCTTAATCTTAATCTTTATCTTAATCTTAATCTTAATCTTAATCTTAATCTAATCTTAATCTTAATCTTAATCTTAATCTTAATCTTAATCTTAATCTCTTCCTTGCAGGGGGTCAAGAAACCTTTCACCGAAGTGATTGCGGCCAACATTGGGGATGCTCAAGCTATGGGGCAGAAACCCATCACTTTCTTGCGCCAGGTATGCTCAAGTGGGGAGGGGCATGTGGAAAGCCTCACCTGGTCAGGCTTAGCCCCATTTCCCAGCGCCCCACACTGACCCAGACACACTTGGTACATGGGAGGACAGAACGAAGAACAGAGGGACTCTGAGCACGTGCAGAAAGCCCACAAGCAGCTCAGGTGTGAGACCTGGAGGGTGGGAAGCGTGGGGGGATGACGAGGCAGTGGGGAGGCTGCAGCATCACCCTAATTCCTCCCCCCCAACAGGTCAGCGCCCTCTGCATGTATCCCGACCTCCTGAATTCCCCCGATTTCCCTGAAGACGCGAAGCAGAAAGCTCAGCGACTCCTGGCCGCGTGTGGAGGGCAGAGCATTGGTGAGTGTCTGGACATCCCTTGGGGGCCCCTCCTTCCCTCTTCCTTTAAAAGGGGGGGTGTCCATGGAAGACCTGCCTGGGCAGGAGCCTCGCCTGAGCCTCTGAGAGCCCCCTGGGGAGAGCCGGAAGCTTTCCTCTCGTCCCTTGGACTAAATTTATCTCCCTCTCTGTCCCTGCGGGAGGTCTCTGGTCCAAGTTTCTACGGTAGCTGCTGGTGAAGGTGGATCAGATGACCTCTGCAGGCCAGAGCTGGTCCTTTGGAGTAGGGGTCTCCCCACCCTTGGCCACTTGATCTGGAGCAAAGCAACATGCCCTTTTCAGATGGGGAGGGGGCTTCCCCTCTATACGGAGGGCCAGTCCTGCAGGGGGGCAGTCAAAGCAACTGTCTGTGGGGGACTCTCTTGGGGAGCTCCGGATTAAGCATCTTCTGCAGTCCTGGGGTGGAGACGGTTGGGTTGAACCCCAAGCTTTGGGCCGTTCTGGATGCAAGGTGCCTGAAGAGGGGCGAGGAGGGGGGGTGAGAGACCCTCGTATGCATCGTGTGGGATCCCACCGATTATGCCAGGAGGACCCCATGGCCTCTTTGTGGGTTCCCTTGAGCGTGGCGTGTCTCCCAGGTGTACCTTATTTATAAAATTTATAGGGCGCTCAGAGTTCCCTTGAGGTGAGGTGGTGTTCTGTCCCTGCCTCACACACACACACAAACAGACAGCCAGGGGTTAAATAAACTGGCAGACAACCAATTCTTTTGATAAGAGGATTAGCAGCAACCCAGTAGCTGCTTGCCAAGAACTTTACTCATAAACAAGATACACACAGTTCAAGAATTGTCAAGTCCAGTCCGTAATTAAATCCAAGGCAGATAATGTTGTTTCCAAAGATGCAATGTGACTTGATAGTAGTTAGTTTTGTCTGTCACAGAGTCTGAATGGCCACCTCACCCCCTTATATCCCCTGTGGGGTGTGGTCCAGTGACTCAGCTTAATCTCTGGCACGTCTCCTTTTCTGTTGCGTGCGCTTGTCTCTCCGACGCTGGCATGGATCCAGCCAAGACTTAACTCCTTCACTGTCCAACTGTGAGGAGATATCTGGCTCCTGGCCAATCTCTTCTCCTACGGGAGACACCTGAGGCATTGCCAGAGAGGAGGGTCCTGGAGAGGGAGGCCTGGCCAACTCCTCTCCTTCATGTTCGGAGCCTTCTCCCTCCGATAAGTGGGCCTCGGGGGTCGGAGCCACAACAGGTGGCTGGCCTTTAAGTTGTATAAATAAAATAAAAGAATAAATTCCTGCCCCTCCCTTGGTGGCCCCTGCACACAAAGTTGCACACCAAGTGTGCAAAGGCTCAGCAGGGCTTCCTCATGCCCCCCCTGAGGCTGTTGATGCTCGCACCAGCAAACTCCCCCTCCCCTCATTCAACCCCGAAAGACCAGAGGCAAGTCCTCCTCCTCCTCCTCCTCGGCCCCCACCCATTTTCTCTTCCTGCCTTCTCTCCCCCCCCCCGCCACTTCAGGGGCCTACAGTGCCAGTCCTGGGATCGAGCTCATCCGCCAGGATGTGGCCGCCTTCATCCAGCGCCGAGATGGGGGAATTCCCTCCGACCCGGAGAATATCTACCTCTCTACGGGGGCCAGCAATGCCGTTGTGGTAAGGAGCCCAAGCCCCAGGGGGCCACTGCGGAAAGTGGGAGGAAGCTGAATTCGGAGGGCACCAAAGGATCGAAGGGAAGAAAGATTTCTCGAGATGGGGGGGGCGTCCTAGGTGCTCACTGAGTTTGGTGGGTTTTTTCTTGCAGATGTTTCATGAACCATCTGAGTAACATCATCAGTGCTAGAAGGAAGTTGGGTTTGTGGAGAGAAGGAGAAGAATGGAGGGAGGAGGAGGAGAAGGAAGAGGAGGAGGAGAACTGTGGGGTCTTTGGTGCTCTCTGAGCTTAGTGGTTTTCTTGCAGATGTTTCATGACCCAGCTAGGTAACATCCTCAGTGCTAGTGATTTTTGTGCAGGCCTTTCGCGAACCATCTGGGTAACATCATCAGTGCTAGAAGGAAGTTGGGTTTGTGGAGAGAAGGAGAATGGGGGAGGGGAGAAGAAGGGGGAGGTCTGTGGGGGTCCTTGGTGCTCTGTGAGTTACTCTCTAAGTAAAAAAAGCAAGGGAGAAAATGCAGTCAGAAATGCAAAACAGGATTAACACTAGCAGGCATAATCGAATTGCAACCCCTCCTTCTCCTCCTCCTTCTCCTCCTCCTCTCTTTTTCCTCCCTCCCTCCCCCCCTCCCCCCCCCCCTCCCCCCCCCTCCTGATCCTGCCCCGGGTGCCACCGTCTGATTGCTTGGCCGCTTACCCGAAAGAGCCGAGTCAGAGGGAGCCACCTGTGGGGCCTCCCCTCCAACGCCCTCCCCTGGCAGAACCCCTTTGCAGCTCGCCTCGGGGACAGTGCCGGGCATGGCAACAACTACACAAAGCCCCTTTTGTCCCTCTTCCTGGCACTCTCCGTCTCCTGGCAGAAGTGGGGCAGCCAAGGGAGGGAGATGGCCTTGCCCGGGACCCCCAAGCGGGGGGGGGGGGGAACTGAGAGCTGCTAAGCCTGGAGGAGCCCCTCAGGTGGAGAAGTTGCCATGACTGCCTGCCTGCCTTGATTGGCACCAGAATGCCCCCCTCCATTTCCCATTTTAAGGCGGTTGCAGTGGAATCATTCTGGCAACTCAAGTCAGTAGGGAAGTCTACAGAGATTCTCAGCCACCCAGGTCAGGGGTCTCCACCCTTGGCCACTGTAAGACTTGTCGACTTGAAGTCCAGCAGTCTTAAAAGTGGCCAAGGTTGGAGACCCCTGATGCAGGTCATGGTTGTCCCAAAGGGTTTTCTTTGAAGACATTTCGCTTCTCATCCAAGAAGCTTCTTCCGCTCTGCAGTGACTCCAGTCTCTTCTTAAAAGCCTCCAGTGATGGAGCATCTACAACTTCTGGAGAGAAGCCATCCCACTGATTAACTGTCCTCACTGATAGGAAATTTCTCCTTAATTCCAGGTTGCTTCTCTCTTTGATTAGTTTCCATCCATTGTTTCTTGTCCTGCCTTCTGGTGCTTTGGAGAATAGGTTGACCCCCCCTTCTTTGGGGCAGCCCCTCAAATACTGGAAGGCTGTTATCACATCCCCCCCCCCAGTCCTTTTCTTTGTTAGGCTACATAAACCCAAATCCTGCACCCATTCTGAGCCGCTCCTGATGTTGCTAATCCCCTCTGGGTTTCTTCCTTAGACGGTCCTGAAGCTGCTGGTCTCAGGGGAGGGGTCCTCCCGGACAGGCGTGATGATTCCCATCCCCCAATACCCGCTCTACTCAGCGACGCTGGCTGAACTCAACGCGCAGCAGATCAACTACTACCTGGACGAGGACAATTGCTGGGCTCTGAACATTGAGGAGCTGCGGAGGGCGCTGGGCCAGGCTCAGAGACGTTGCCAACCACGGGTCCTCTGCGTCATCAACCCGGGCAATCCCACAGGTACGGTCCCACTGCCTGGCAGTTCAAGAGGGGGTCCCTGAAGACACCATAAATGGACTCAAGCCACTCATAACATCCACCTTTTGGGGAAAGGACCTTGTGGACTTCTCCTGAAGGTTCTCCAGAAGAAGCTCTCCTGGGAAGGTCTCCTACAGGGACTCGGAGGCAGCCTTGGCTGGGCCTTGTTTGGAGTGATGTGGAAGGCCCTTTACCAGAAACATGGCACCCGGGGCCACAGTTTCCCCCTGGAAGGTGCACCCGTCTGAGCCACCAGCTTCTGAGGAACCCCTTACATGTTTCCGGCCTCTGTTTGGTCCTGATCTCCTGCAGAAGTCCAGGTGTCATTGTTAGGAAGATCTTGGGCTGAGGAGGGGGCAGTCAGTGGAACTAGACTCCCTCCCTCCTCAGCAAGGGTCGGGGGCTGCCTCTCCTGGAAGATGTGAGACCCCCTTTCCAACAAGGGTCCAACAGGACCACGGGAGCTTTTAGGAGGTGGGAGTGGGAACTCCCAGTGGCAGCAAAACAGGGATTAATACTTCAGAGTGAGCCCAGAAGCCCCCAGGTGCATCCGCCCAGCCCGCACAACAGAAATCCTTCCCGACTTCACACTCTTAATATTGGACCATAAACAAACCATTTGCAAACAAAGAAACTGAACCACGATTTAACTACAGGTAGTCCTCGACTTACAACCATTCATTTAGTGACCGTTCAAAGTGACAACGGCACTGAAAATGGTGACTTATGACCGTTTTTCACACTTACGACCGTTGCAGCATCCCCCGCGATCACGAGATCAACATTCCGATGCTTGGCAACTGGCATGTACTTATGACGGTTGCAGTGTCCCGGGATTAATTTTTGCGGCCTTCTGACAAGCAAAGTCAACAGGGAAGACAGATTCAGTTAACAAGTTAACAACTGCAGTGATTCACTTAGCAACTGTGGCAAGGAAGGTCGTAAAATGCAGGCAAAGCTCGCTTAACAACTGCCTTGCTTAGCCACAGAAATGTTGGGCTCCACTGCGGTCGCAAGTCGAGGACCACCTGATACCAAGCTTAGCGTGGTGCCAAATCTAGCTTGCAAAAACCCTTCTGGCCATCCGGGCACAACCTCCTCATTCTGGCCCAGTCCTTCCTTCCCCCTTGCTCCCCCCACTCCCCGTGGGTCCTTCACAAGCGGCCCTCCTGTTGCTGACCCTCTTGTCAGTTGTCCTGGAAGGGAAGCGGGCGGCTGGCAGCCTCTCGGCTCCTCTGCCCTCGGGTGAGATGGAGAAGAACCAGCAGGGAGCCCGTCAGCTCCACCTTCAGCACAGAGGACTCCGTAAACAACCCCTGAGCCAAGTTTTCTCCGGAGTCCTTCAAGGGAACCTTATCAAAGGCTGCTTGGAAATTCATGCGTCAAAAAAACCCCCACCAAGGTCATCCAGGAGCTGCTGCCACTCCTGGAAAGGTCTGGATGAGGCAGGGCTCACCTGGGTGGGTGGGAGGCCTTTGGGAGGCCCTCAGAGCTGCTCTCGGAGCTTGGATGTCTCCTTGCTAGTTTAGGTGACGTCATCAGTGGGGATCCTGAGGGTCTTCCCTCTAGCACTGATGGAGTTACTTAGATTGGTGATGAGACATCTGTAACAAAACCACCAAGCTCAGAGAGAATCAAATATGGTGGAGTTGTTCCTCCTCCTCCTCCTCTTCTTCCTCTTCTTCTTCCTCTTCTTCTTCCTCCTCCTCCTCTTCCTCCTCCTCCTCTCCCCCCTCCTCCACCTTCTCATCCCTGCAAACTCCACTGCTTCCTAGCACTGATGATGTTACCTAGTTGGGTAATGAAAGGTCTACAAGAAAACCACCAAGCTCAGAGAGCTCCAAGGACCCCACAGTCCTCCTCCTCCTCTTCCCTCTTCTTCCTCCTTCCTCCTTCCTCCTCCTCTGCAAACTCCACCCCCATCTAGCATTGATGATGTTATCTAGTTGGGTAATGAAACATCTACAAAACAACCAACTGAAAGAGCACCAAGGAGCCCTCATTCCAACCCTGGGCAACAAATATTCTCCTTTTTTGGGGAACAGGCCTTCCTTCAGACTGATTTTTTGGGGGGTCCTTTCCCTTCTCCATTCCCGCTGGCCTGGAGTCCTTCTCGGGGAGGGCTTCCTTCGGTGACTCTCTTCCTGCCTCTCCTTCTCCCTGCAGGCCAAGTCCAGAGCCGCAAATGCATTGAGGAGGTCATTCACTTTGCTTGGGAGGAACATCTCTTCCTCATGGCCGATGAGGTAAGACCTTGGAAGTCTCTCCTGTCCCCCAAAACGGAGCCATTTCCCCTCAAACCCTTCCCTCTGCAGTGGGGGGATGGGGGGGGCAGTTGAGCCAGGAGGAGAAGCATGCCCCGTCTCTCACTGATGCTTCCGGCCCCCGATCCAGGCTCAGTCTCCTTGAGGGTGGTACCCCACAGATGTTTGGGCTCACCAGATCTGATCAGCGTGGTCAGAGATCAGGAGAACTGGAATCAAAAACATCTGGAAAAAGTCTGGGACTGAAATGGGTTCACCATTTTGGGTGCCCAGCTGAGTTTTCTCTGCTGCCTCTCAACCACCTGGTTTTTTCCCCCACCCCCAGGTCTACCAGGACAACGTCTACGCAGAAGGCTCCGAGTTCCACTCCTTCAAGAAGGTCCTTTTTGAGATGGGTCCCAAGTACTCCGAAAGCGTGGAGCTGGCCTCCTTCCACTCCATTTCCAAGGGCTTCATGGGCGAGTGAGTGGCAGGGCCAGGCTGGGTCGGCTTTCCTTCTTGAGCTCCATGGAGACTCTCCACCACGGCTGAACCGAAGGGGCTTTTTCCAAAAGGCAGCTGGACTTTTGGGGTTTTTTCCCCCCCTTTGAGTACGTTTCGCTTCTCATCCAGGAAGCTTCTTCAGTTCGAACATCTGAGAAGCTTCTTCAGTTAGAATGGCGATCACGGGACAACTGGACAATTGGACAAAAAGCAACTGGATGTTCTTGTTTTTTTTTTAAAAAAAACATTTTGCTTCTCATCAAAGAAGCTTCTTCACTTCTAACTGAATAAATTCAATTCAGAATAGGGCTGGAAGGGACCTTAGAGGTCTTCTAGTCCAAAGCAGGAGAGCCTATACACATTTCGGTTTCTTCGGTGTCAGAACTGAAGAAGCTTCTTGGATGGGAAGCGAAAAGTTTTCAAAGGGGAAAAAAAAGCAAGAAAACCTTTTGAAAAAGCACCTTTGGGTTTCCTTCTTGACTTTGCCGCCCCCTGCTGGTGGGACAGGGAAGTGCAGGACATGCCTCCAAGGCCATCCTCTCCTCTCCTCTTACCTGGCCAGGTGTGGTTTCCGTGGAGGTTACATGGAAGTGATTAATATGGACCCCGCAGTCCAGCAACAGCTGACCAAGCTGGTCTCCGTCCGCTTATGCCCACCAGTGACTGGCCAGATTCTCCTCGATGCTGTGGTCAACCGGCCCCAGCCAGGAGACCCCTCCTACCAGCGGTTCAGCCAGGTGAGTTCAGAAGAGGCAGGGGGGCAAATGGGGTGGGGGGAACAGTGGGGGCCCCATCCTTTACTGAGCCCAGGGAATCGGTTTCATTAAGATAGTAAAAAAATCCAGAACATCTGCTGGATGCCACGAAGGTAGTCCTCAACTTACAACGATTAGTTCAACGGCTGTTCAACAGCACTGAAAAAAAGTGGCATGACTCAAGTCCTCGCACTTATGACTGTCGCAGCACCCACACAATCACAATGACAAACTGGCAGGTGTTTATAAAGGTTGCCGTGTCCCGTGATCGCCATTCGCCCCCTTCCCAGCCGACTTTGGACAAGCAAAGCCATTCGCGATTTGCTTAACAACAACAACAACAAAAAGATCATAAAATTGGGCATGACTTGCTTAATGACCACCTCACTTAGCCATGGAAATTTTGATCCCAATTGTGGTCATAAATTGAGGACTGCCTGTATTTTGTGTTTGATGTTGGACTTCCTGAATCCGAGACCCTTCCAGATCTCTGAACTACAACGCCCATCATGCCCATCTAGTACCATCTGAGGATTGTGGATGTTGTCATCCCACAGATCTAGAGGACGTGAGAATGGGGATAGTGGCATATACAGGGAGTCCTTTCTGTCCCTAAGTGAGACACTTGATAAGTGAGTTTTGCCTCATTTTACAACCTTTCTGGCCACTGTTGTTAAGTGAATCACTGCAGTTGTCAAGTTAGTAACACAGTTGTTAAGTGAATCTGGCTTCCCCATTGACTTTGCCTGTCAGACAGTAGCAAAAGGGAACCCCAGGACACTGCAACCGTCATAAGTACAAGTCAGTTGCCAAGCCTCTGAATTTTGATCACGTGACCCTGGGGAGGCTGCAACAGTCACAGGTCACTTTTTTCAGTGATGTTGTAACTTTGAATGGTCACTAAACGAACTGTTGTAAGTCGAGGACTCCCTGTATAACGCACAGCGTGAGATTTGAATTTTTCTTTGAAGTACGCGTATTTTCATCTGATGGGGAAAGACGGAGCTTACACAGAGGGAAGCCCACGTGGAGCTTCCATTTTGGCTTTGGCCACCTTGATTGTGATGCTTGGTCCCTTTTCTGCTTTGTTGGATTCTCCTTCTGCATTGCAGCGTCTGGAGAAAGATGCCCCCCCCCCCCCTTTTTCCCCCCCCCCCCCCCCCAAGAATTGGATCCCTGCCGTTGTGTCATTCAACGCAAAAGGGAGACATCAGAACATCATGTCCAGAAACGGAGCCAGGAGGGCAGGAGGGCTCATCCTGGGTGCCTGGAATGGGGGATCTTCTTTGGCTCTGAGTGGGTTCTTGGCACAACCTCTGGGGCACTTCATTTTGCTGATTTAATTTGGGTTGGTTTTTTGTTTTTTTTTAATGTCTCGCTGGATGCCCAGCTCTGATTGTGAGATGGGCGGCCATAGAAATTAGTTAAATGCATGCAGGCAAAATGATGAAGAGAAGATGGGAGGCTTTGTATTATGCTCAAAGCAGGACTGGGGGGGGGTTTGTAGCCCCCTGACCTGTTTTGGCAGGCTGCAAAGCCATTGTGGAGTACTGAGCTTGGGGGTTTTCTTGTAGATGTTTCATGACCAACTAGGTAACATCATCAGTTCTAGAAGGGAGAGGTGGAAGAGGAGGAGGAGGAGGAGGAGGAAGAGAACTTTGGGGTCCTTGGTGCTCTCTGAGCTTAGTTATTTTCTTGCAGACGTTTCATGACCCAGCTAGGTTACATCATCAGTGCTGGCTGGGAAATTCTAGAAGTTAAAGTCCACAAGTCCCAAAGTTGCAAGATCCCCTGGACACCCCTGGTTTAGCTGATTAGACTTAGTAGGTTCCCACAACACGCTAAGCTAAGAGGGGGCTTCGGAGCAACTGAATCTAATTTGCGCGTTGGGCTGTGGGCATGAAACACCCGTGTGGTGCGATTGTGCGCCCTCACCTGTCCACCCACTTGCCTGCAGGAAAAGGCCGCTGTCCTGGGCGCTCTGGCCAGGAAGGCCCGGCTGACCAAGGAGACCTTCAACCGGGCCCCCGGGATCCACTGCAACCCGGTGCAGGGGGCCATGTATGCCTTTCCCCGAATCGAGCTGCCCGCTCGAGCTGTGCAGGAGGCTCAGGTAAGGTGGGCACTCCGTGGGTCTGGTGTTTCTGGGGGGGGCAGCAGGTGGGTTTGCAGCCTGCAGGGGCCGTGTTACAAGGGGATGGGCCTTCAGGGGGGTGGGTTTTTTCCACCCTCTTGCCTTGGTGGCCTAGTGGTTAGAGTGCAGTATTGCAGGCCCACTCTGCCCACTGCTAAGAGTTCAATCCTGACTGGCTCAAAGATGACTCAGCCTTCCGTCCTTCCAAGGTGGGTAAAATGAGGACCCAGATTGTTGGGGGAAAGTATGCAAATAATGCTGACTCTATAAAGGAAAAAGGGAAAAGAAAGTCCAGTTTGCCTTTTGAAAAAGCAGCTTTTTGCTAGAGCTATTTTGACTCCCCTGCAGATGTTTTGAGCCTAGGTGGGTTCAAAGCATCCGCGATGAGTCCGTCTGCAGCCTTATTTTGCATGAGTTAATTAGCACAACGATGCCCCACTTTTCTCTCGATTCCAATGCTTGAACCGTAAAAGGACACCGGACCAAGCAATGGAAGTGAAATGCAAAGCCAGGCTGACCCCACTTCCTCCCCTGACCTCCTGCAGGCCCTGGGCCAGGCGCCAGACATGTTCTTCTGCCTCAGACTGCTGGAGGAGACGGGCATCTGTGTCGTGCCTGGCAGTGGCTTTGGCCAGAGAGAAGGCACCTTCCACTTCAGGTAAGCCCTCTCCTGCCCTGCCTTGTGCGGAGGTAACTTCAAATGGTCACTAAATGAATGGTTATAAATTGAGGGCTACTTGTAACCTACCTTCCTTCCTTCCTTCCTTCCTTCCTTCCTTCCTTCCTTCCTTCCTTCCTTCCTTCCTTCCTTCCTTTCTCTTCCCTTCCCTTCCCTTCCTTTCCCCTTCCTTCCTTCCTTCCTTCCTTCCTTTCCCTTCCCTTCCCTTCCCTTCCCCTTCCCTTCCTTCCTTTCCTTCCCTTTTTTCTTTCTTCCTTTCTCACGCCCTCTCTTCTCGCTCTCTCCATCCCAGAATGACCATCTTGCCTCCCGAGGAGAAGCTGGAGGTTCTCCTGCAGAAGCTGAGCCAGTTCCACGCGAAGTTCACCCGGGAATATTCCCAGGTCCAGCTGTAGCGTGTCCAGGAATTCTGGCCGTAGTGAAGCCGGGGCAGTGGGTGGGCCGAGGGGGATCACCCTCTAGGCTTCATCCCACCTGCAGGGTGTATAAACGCCCCCAGCCCCATCCTTGTCCCACCTCCACTGACGAAAGCAAAGACGGGGGAAGGCTCAGGGCACAGATGGGCCTCTGAGAAGATCACCAGCCGTGCCTGACCTTCAAGGATCTACAGATGGACGTCTCCTACAAGCAGGACCCGGGCAGCTCTGGGCACCAGCTCCCTTGAGAGATTTGGGGTCCTCAAGCCACGTTGCTGTCCCTCAACTCCTCCACATTCAGAGACCCAACCAGACCTGCCTTCTAATTTGGCCCCCGGTGCAGATGTGCCTTCATGCTCTCGGTTCCCCAGTGGGGTCTCTCTGCCCCCTTCATGGACTTGGCCAGGGGTCTCGCTGGCTCAGGGAAGGTTGCGATCCGTGGGGCCTGCAAAGAGGACATCAGGAGAAGCTGCCTGGCAAACCCTGAAGCCTTCTGGGATGAATGTTGTGCCTTGGGGGAAGAGAGGGCCAGGCCCCTCCCTCACATTTCTGGGAATGTGAAAGGGGGCTGCAGGGGATCAATAAAGCCAATCTGATCAATAGTTGAATCCCGTCTCTGCAGATTAATCAGTGGAACAGCTTGCCACCAGAAGTTGTGTGTGTGCTCCAACACTGGAGGTTTTTAAGAAGAGATTGGACAACCATTTGTCTGAAATGGGACAGGGTTTCCTGCCTGAGCAGTGGGTTGGACTAGAAGACCTCTGAGGTCCCTTCCTCCTCTGATATTCTGTTATTCTGATGTGTTATCCATTCAGTCGTGTCCAACTCTTGGCCAGTCTCTGGGCCAGGCGGTTTCTCCACTTCTTCTGATCTTGCGTTGTTTCTTTGTGTTTTTTCTATGTGTCGGCTTTGATGGTATTTGGCCACCGTCTTTGGAGGCCTGGTTTCCTTTTACCCCTAACTCTTTGGAGCATAATTGCTTTCTCCAGTGAATTCTTCCATTTGGCATGGCCAAAGAAATGCCTCCGTAAGGCCACGCTTGGAATCCTGCATCCAGTTTTGGTTGCCACGATGTAAAAAAGACGTTGAGACTCTAGAAAAAGTGCAGAGAAGAGCAACCAAGATGATTAAGGGACTGGAGGCTAAAACATACAATGAACGGTTGCTGGAATTGGGTAGGTCTAGTTTGGTGAAGAGAAGGACCAGGGGAGACATGAGAGCATCTTCCAATATTTGAGGGGCTGCCACAGAGAGGAGGGAGGGGGTCAAGCTGTTTTCCAAAGCACCTGAAGGCAGGACGGGAAGCCAATGAATGGAAACGGAACAAGGAGAGATTCAACCTGGCAATAAGGAGGAATTTATTAACAGTGAGAACAATTAAGCAGAGCAATGCCTTCAGAAGTTGTGGGTGCTCCACATTTTTAAGAAGAGATTTCACAGCCATCTGTCTGAAATGGGATAGGAGGGTCTCCTGCCTGAGCAGGGGGCTGGACTAGAGGACCTCCAAGGTCCCTTCCAACTCTGTTCTCCTAAAGTGAGAGAGAGATTTGTGGTTTTTCCAGGGGCGTCTCTGGGGTTTCTCGATCTGCTGCTTGCTGCTTAGTCACGTTTACTGTCCAAGGATTATGCAGCAGCCCCCCCACGATCTGGGCTTTCTCACGGAGACACGTTGGGTCCTCAACCCCAAGGAAGAATGAGAGGAGCCTGGGTGCTCCTCCAGTTCACCATCAGGAGCCCTCTTGGCCACACCTATCGAATCCCAGGGCTGGAAGGGACCTCGGAGGTCTTCTAGTCCAACCCTCGGCTCAAGGCAGGAGCCTCAGACCACCCCAGTCTGTTTTTGGAAGCCTCCAGTGATGGATCGTCTTTGGGATGAGACGTTCCTCTTGGGTGGCATCTTAAAGGGATCAAGGAAGCAGCTGCTTTGGCCCTCTTCGGAAAGGACATTGGCTGCAGGTGTCCCCACCTGAACCTCCCTGGCTTCCCCTCCTCCCCTCCCCCACCTCCATTTCCCAGCAATATTTGTAGATTGTCCTCGACTTACGAGCACAATTGCGCCCAACATTTCTGTTGCTAACCAAGGCACTTGTTAACTGAATTTTGCCCTATTTTATGGCTTTTCTTGCCACTGTTGTTAAGTGAATCATTGCGGTTGTTAAGTCAGTAACATGGTCGTTAAGTGAATCCAGCTTCCCCATGGACTTTGCTTGTCAGGAGATCACGTGACCCCGGGACACTGTGACCGTCATAAATACAAGTCAATTGCCAAGCTTCTGAATTTTGATTACATGACCATGGGGATGCTGCAATGGTCGTAAGTGTGAAAAACGGCCATAAATCCCTTTTGCAGGGTCACTAAACAAATAGCCAATAGCCCATAGGCTTATATCCTGCTTTTACAGCCCTCTCTAAGAGATTTACAGAGTCAGCCTCTGGCCCCCAACAATCTGGGTCCTCATTTTACCCACCTTGGAAGGATGGAAGGCTGAGTCAACCTTGAGCCAGTCAGGATTGAACTCCTAGCAGTGGGCAGATTTAGCCTGCAATCCTGCACTCTAACCACTAATGCCACCACAGCTCTTCCTTCCTTCCTTCCTTCCTTCCTTCCTTCCTTCCTTCCTTCCTTCCTTCCTTCCTTCCTTCCTTTCTTCCTTCCTTCCTCCCCTCCCCTCCCCTCCCCTCCCCTCCCCACCTCTCTCCTTCCCTCCCTCCTTTCCTAGCACTAGCACCTAGACTTATATACTGCTTTACAATGCTTTCCAGCCCTCTCCAAGCAGTTTACAGAGTCAGCCTCTGGCCCCCAACAATCTGGGTCCTCATTTTACCCTCCTCGGAAGGACGGAGGGCTGATGGTTGTAAGTTGAGGACTGCCTGTATTCAGGTGCCTGCAGGTTGTGTGACTCCAAAGATGCTCTTTGCTGCGTCTTCCAAGGTCTTCTACAAGCATCCAACAAGGTTTAGAGGTAGGATCATCCCTGCTGTTTTGCACCTGAGGCAGGGAGGAGGAAGAGTCCCTGGGGGGAATGGGGCCTCCAAGCCCTCTTTTACTCCAGGAACAACCCCCCCACCCCCCACCCCAGCCATGGAGCCGGCTTTCCTTGAGCAGGGACTCTGCCCTCCTGGAGACCCAGAAGCTTCTGCAGGATTCTTTCTGTGCTCATGTGCCATGATTAGGGAATGCGACCAAGGGAGGGGCATTTTTAAAAACCTGCGTACCTTGCCTGGTTCCATTGCAGGGAATTTGGAAAAGCAGCTGGTTGTAGTTCTTCTTTAAGGAAAAGGACGACCAGGGGTGACATGACAGAAGTCTTCCAACATTTGAGGGGCTGCCCCAAAGAAGAGGGAGGCAAGCTATTCTCCAAGGCCCCTGAAGGCAGGACAAGAAGCAACGGATGGAGACTAATCAAAGAGAGAAGCAACCTGGAATTAAGGAGACATTTCCTATCAAGTTAGAACAATTAACCTCACTGGAACAACTTGCCACCAGACTTGTGGGTGCTCCAACATTGGAGGTTTCTAAGAGGCTGGGCAGCCACTGTCTGGAATGGCCCAGGGCAGGGTCTCCTCCCATTGGACCTGAAAACCCCTTCCAACGCTGTCATTCTGTGAAGTCCAGGCTGAGCCCCTCCAAAACCAGGAGAGGGAGTGAAAGTCTGCAGAGAAGTGGCTCCAGCATGACCCTTGTTGGCCCAGAGAGCAGACGGGAGCACTGGAATAGTCGCAGGGAAGGCAGAGGCCCATCGTCCATTGTTTTGGATCCCTGCAAAATATTCCTCATCTAGGCAGGTCCCTTCTCTCTCTCTCCACCCCCCCTCACCCTTCCTGGCCAGAGACAATGCTTGCTTTGAAAGGGCTTCAGAGGCCGTGAAGTTCTGCCTCCTCTTTGCATTCTCTTCGCAAGATCCGATCAGCCCTCTGGGCACCTTGCCCGCTGGGCTCTCTTCCAAAGGGGCACTTCCAGGTAGCGGAGCCGTATGGCTGCACCGGCTGAAATAAACCCATCCCGATCTCAGGGTTGCAGCCGAGCCTGGCATTGTGGACTTCCAGAGGTCTTGGGTTGCAGCTCCCATCGGTGGCCTGGCTGGATGAGATGGGAGTTATAGTTCAGCCATCTGGTAGGTGTCAGTTTGGAGGAAACACCCCCCTCCCTGATGAGAGTCAGCTGGCCAATGCCAGAGCTGTTCTTCTTCTTCTTCTTCTTCTTCTTCTTCTTCTTCTTCTTCTTCTTCTTCTTCTTCTTCTTCTCCTCCTCCTCCTCCTCCTCCTCCTCCTCCTCCTCCTCCTCCTCTTTTACTACTTCAGGTGTGAGAGACAGAAATTTCCTGATGAGAACAATTAATCTCAGTTTGATAAATTGTACCGTAATTTACAAGGTAACAAATGGTAAATAGTAATTAACAGAATTGGAAGGGTTAGGGTTAGTTGCCAAGCATCTGAATTTTGATCATGGGGATGCTGCAATGGTCGTAAGTGTGAAGAAGAGTCAGAGGTCACTTGTTTCAGTGCTGTTGTAGCTTGAGATGGTCACTAAATGAACGGTTGAGGACTACCTGTCCTCTGTTGGCTCCCCCTTCCTATGAGAGTCCAGCTCTGGTCACTCTGAGAGCAGAAGAAGAGAGTCCAGCGGCCAAGCAGGACATCAACCTGAGCGTAGGGCTTGAGGTCACCTGAGGTGGCTTTCTGCTGCTCCCATCGGAGTCGTCCAGGGCTGGGACTCTGGTGGGATGGAGGAGCCAGCAGAGATCTCTTGGCCATGGAGGAGAGCCTGGCCCTGAACCTTGGTCTCCTCCCAAGAGGACCTCCTGCACTGTTGAACAGGAGCTGAGCCAAAGATCTCTCGGAGCATTTCTCCTGATGTTGAAGCAAGCCAAGCCCCAGCTGGGACCCAGAAGTCTGGGGCAAACCGCCCTCTGGACCCCATCCAGCACCCCACGTGCTTTCCCTTTCATGATCCACCGCGGCTGCTTCTGGTGACTCCTTCTCCCCTCTTCACGCAGAGGATGGCTGGGCTCTGGAGCTGGCTGCTGGCTGTGGGTCTCCTGGAAGGGCTGAGGGGGGCCCTGAGCTGCGTGCCTCCTCCAGGGGGTAAGAAGGGGGAAGTGGGGGGTTTCTGTTGTGGGGAGATTCAGCACAAAGGTTGGGAGGGAAGTGGCTTGGGGCAGGGGAGATCTTGGCTTGGAGAACATCTAATTCTTCTTTTGGAAGATCTAGAAGAACTTTGGAGGGTCATAACAAGAAGGATGACATGTCTAGTCTAATGAAAAGAAGGACCAGGGGAGACAAGACAACAGTCGTCCAATATTTGAGGGGCTGCCACAAAGATGAGGGGGTCAACCCATTCTCCAAAGCACCAGCAGGCAAGACAAGAAGCAACAGATGGAAACTCATCAAGGAGAGAAGCAGCATGGAATTAAGGAGAAATTTCCTGACAGTGAGGAGGATAATTAACCAGTGGAACAGCTTGCCACCAGAAGTGGTGGGTGCTTCAACACTGGAGGCTTCCAAGAAGAAAGTCACCCCAGCCTCCTGCCCTTCATCTATGTTGGACTAATATTGTGCACCATCCCCACCTGGGGACAGATCCCCCAAAGCCACACCCACCTCCATCTCCATCATAGGATGGCCATCTTAGTGCTGACCTGCCATGGGTCCTGCCCTCTTTCTCCAGGCAGAGGCCATCCGTGAATTGCAGCCTGACCCTAAAAGAGGCTAGCTGCATTTGGGAGCTGCCCCAGGGAGGTTAGGAGGCTCTTCCAGGGTCCATCCCTGCCACACAACTGCCAAGTGGCTTCCCCTTTGGGTCTTGGGAACATGGACTCCTCACTTGAGGATGCTGGATGCCTCCTCCTCTTCCTCTTCTGTTGGCTTAATCCTCCTCCTCCTCCCCCCTCCCCCTCCCCCTCCTCCTCCTCCTCCCCCTCCTCTCCAGGAAGCTCTTCCTCTCCTCCAGCGCCTCCCCTGGGGTCTCGCTTCTCTCTCCTCCGCAGCCCCTCCAGAGAATTTGCATTAGAACTTGGAGGAAGAGGTAGGAGTCACCCAAGATCACGAGAGATGAAGGGGAAGGGTTTTCTTTGCCACAGGGCTACCAATAATGTTGGGGCATGAAGACGAAAGGGGATTTCTGGCTGTTCACCTCCTCCTCCTCCTCCTCCTCTTCTCTGCAGATCCCGCTCCCTTCTAGCACTGATGATGTTACCTAGTTGGGTCATGCAATGTCTGCAAGAAAACAACCAAGCTCAGAGACCACCAAGGACCTCTCAGTTCTCCTCCTCCTCTTTCTCTATTCTCAGTCTAAGGAACGGGTGGCGAGTCAAGCCTTCAACCCATGTCTCCCTTTGCCCCTCAGCCAGGAACTGGGCAAGAGGCCAGCCTGCCACTCAGTCCTCCACGTACCCCCAGTGGGGCACCGTCTACAGCCGAGCAGAGAGCGCCGTGGATGGCAACCGTGATGGGGACTGGCGCCATGGCTCCTGCAGCCACACCCTGGTGGAGGAAGAGCCCTGGTGGAGCCTGGATCTGGGCGCCTCCTACGCCATCTCGGCCGTGGTGGTGAAGAATCGCCAGGAGTGCTGCTCGGGACGGCTCCAGGGGGCCCAGATCCACGTGGGAGACTGTGGGACCGACCACGGCAAGTGCAACCCAATGTAAGGAGTGCCGGGGTTCCAAGGGATACACCCAGAGCAAACAAAACTCCGAGGCAGGTAGATTCCAGTGGGCCCATCGACCTCCCCTAGAGGATCGTTGTTCTTGCCTCCCTCGTCCAGGTGATTGGTGCTCTCTCACTGGCGCCTGGAATGCAGCCCGGCAGCCAAAATCTTCCTCCACCCGGTAGAGCTCCTGGGTGGCCGGCCATTTGGTGCGGACTTTGGGTTGGGCACCCACCTGGTGCACGACCTCCGCCATCTGCTCAGCCTCCAAGGGGGTCTGTAGACTTTCTAGGGCTCCTCCGCAAACTCTCCTCCATCTTCCCTGAGTCTTCCTGGTGCCCAGGTAGACCGAGTAAGCAGGCGGGGCTCAGGACTCTGGATAGTGGCTCCGGTTGGAGCTTGAGCATGGTGGCGCAGTGGTTAGAGTGCAGTACTGCAGGCTACTTCTGCTGGTCACCGGCTGCCAGCAGTTTGGCAGATCGAATCTCACCAGGCTCAAGGTTGACTCAGCCTTCCATCCTTCCAAGGTGGGTAAAATGAGGAGCCAGATTGTTGGGGGCAAGAGGCTGACTCTGTAAACTGCTTGGAGAGGGCTGTAAAACACTGTGAAGCGGTATATAAATCTAAAGGATATTACTATTGCTAGTTGAGATTTAGGTGAGTCGATTTAATGTCAGGATTCCAAGTAATAGTTCCACATCAAGCAAAACTCCGAGGCAGGTAGATTCCTCAAAGAATAGTTTTATTCGGGCTTATCATATTGGCACAGCTCTGGTGAAAACCGACTCTGCAGATTCCCGTGGTTTTCACCTAATTAAAAGCAGAAGTTTTCCCTCAGCCCCAGTCAGTCAGTCACATGGTCCAATCAGGCTGCCATCCGGTTGCCTGGTAACATCACTCCTCCTTCCTCTGACCAGGTGTGAGAACGTCCTTGGTTCCCAAGAGACAGTATTTTGTTTTGGCTAAAAACCCCCAACTATCTCTAATCCCCCTAATTCTCCAGTGTGGCAGCACTGAAGCTTCCAAGATGGCTCCGGTCAGGTCAGCTTCAGGGTTGACAAGGAGCCTCCGCCCCCCCCCAAGGCAAGGGGGCCGAGAGGCAGCTGCTTTCTTTGCAACGGGGCCCAGAGGGTGATCGAAAGGTGAACTGGCAGCCATCCCTGCGTGGATGACATGCCAGCCTTTTTCTGCATGTGCTGCATGTATGGGAGTCTTTAACCCCAAGTAAGTTGAGTTTTTACCTCTGCAGCTGTGGGTCCGTCTCCAATGGCAGCGCCGGCTCCCTCAGCGTCATCTGCTGCGACGGACGGCGAGGACGCTATGTGACGGTGGTCATCCCTGGCCGAGCAGAGTACCTGACCCTCTGTGAGCTGGAGGTCTATGGCTCCAGAGTGGGGAAGGGGTGCTAGAGAGCATCGAGAGGGGGACTACGAGCCGGACTGGAATGGCTCCCTAATAAAACTCCTGGTTCAAGGAATGCTTTCTTGTTTCCTTCCTCCGTCGGCAGGCCAGGTTTGAGAAGCCAGCTTTCTTGGCCAGCAATCGTTCTCTCAGCCAGGATGAAGGTTTCTTGGGGATGAAGGAGGGAGGAAGGTGCAATATCCCACCTCAGATGCACCCATCCGGTCGGCCTTTGCAGAGCAAGACAGAGGCAGGAGGGAGTCCAGCAATGCTGCTTCATTTTTGCAGGGGGGTCATAAGAGAATCTTACTTAAAGTTGCCCTTTCTTTTCCTTCCTTCCTTCCTTTCCTCCTTCCTTTCCTCCTCCTCCTCCTCATTTCTATGTTGCTTTTCTCCTTGATTACTTTCCATCCATTGCTTCTTCTCCTGACTTCAGGGGCTTTGGAGAATAGCTTTGACTCCTTCTTCTTTGTGGCAGCCCCTCAAATATTGGAAGATGCTCTCCTGTCTCCCCTGGCCCTTCCCTTCACTAGACCAGCCGTGCCCAGTTCCTGCAACCGTTCATCGTATGTTTGAGCCTCCAGTCCCCTAATCCTCTTGGTTGCTCTTCTCTGCACTCTTTCTAGAGTCTCAACATCTTTTTTATAGTGTGGTGACCAAAACTGGATGCAGCATCCAAGGGTGGTCTTAGCAAGACCTTCACCTGATCCTGATCTATCCCTCTGTTGATGCAACCTAGGACTGCATTGGCTTTCTTGGCGGTTGCAGCACAGGGCTGGCTCACAGTTGTCTTTCTGACAAACAGTCTGGGGGGAGGTGGGAGGGGGGAGGTGCTGGCTTTAACACAAGTCCTCTTCGGGGTGGCTACTTTTTTGAGAAGAGGCTGCTCGGCATCCCAAGCACACAGATTGTTTTAAAAGTTAGCAACTAAACAGATGTGAATCTGTTTAGTTCCACATGAGGAACTAAGGCTGCCACCCAATGGGGAGATTTTATTATCAGGCCAGCCTTGTTATGTCTAATACAGGGCTGGTGTGCCATTTCTCTCTCTCCCTCCCTCCCTCCCTCCCTCCCTCCCGCTCTGTCTTGCGCTTTCTCTCTCTCTCCCTCTCCCTCTCCCCCTCTCCTTCTCCCTCTCCCTCTCTGTCTCTCTCTCTCTCTAAATATATATCATTCATCTCTCTCTCTCTTCCTCTTCCTCTCCCTCCCTCCCCCTATCTCTCTCTTGCATTTTCTCTCTCTTTCCCCCTCTCCTTCTCCCCCTCTCTGTCTATCTGTCCGTCTTTCTTTCTATCTATCTATCTATCTATCTATCTATCTATCTATCTATCCATCTATCATCTATCTATCATTCATTCATCTCTCTCTCCCTCCCTCTCTTCCTCTCCCTCTCTTTCCCTCTCTCTTCTTTTCCCTCTCTCCCTCTCTCTCTCTCTCTTGCATTTTTTCTCTCTCCTCCTCTCCTTCTCCCTCTCCCTCTCTTTATCCATCCCTCCATCCATCCCTCCATCATTTTTTATCATCTATCAACTATCACCTATCTCTGTCTCTATCATCTATCTGTCTGTCTGTCTGTCTGTCTGTCTATCTATCTATCTATCTATCTATCTATCTATCTATCTATCTATCTATCATCTAATCTATCTGTGCATCTATATCTATCTATATCTATCATTCATTCATTCATTCATTCATTCATTCATTCATTCATTCATCTCTCTCTCTCTCTCTCAAATTTATTAGCTGCCCATCTTGCCACACAGTAACCCTGGGAGGCTTACAATATGAAAAGATAAAAGTGTATAATTTATAACAAACCCAATACTATAAATACTATAAGAACTATAAAATCAACCTAGCTCAAATGGTTGGTGGGGGGAGGGAATACGATGAGAATGGGAGAGGGTGGGATCTGCTGAAGGGATCTGAACTCTCCCGGCTTCCAACCGACTCTGAAGTTGTGGTTTGAGATCATGGGTCAGCTGTGGCCTCGTAAGGTGGGGCCTTTGGGTTCTGGGCTTTATGCCCCCTTTGCCCTTCATTTTTAGGTGGGGGGTGGGCCAGCCTTGCTCCAGTTGTGATTTAATAGACATTTTGTTTGGAGTGGCTCCTGATTTACTGAGGCCAAATGTTATGTGTGTCCAACATAACTTACAATACTGGAAAAGCCGGACGGGGCCTCTGCTAACCCCACATAGATGGTTAACTCAAGAAGCAAGGAGCCCCACAGATCTTAGAAAAACATCTTTAATCCTAGTTAGAGTTTTTTTTAAAAAAAAACTACCTCTGAAACCAGAATCCCGAAACCTGGAGATCTTTGATTCAGGCAGGCGTAGAGCAAGCCAGTTAAGGAAAATCTCTTTGAACCATTTGGCTTCCTTGATCCCCACATCTGGACCTTGCTGCCTCTTGGACCACCTGCTTCTCACCCTCTCTGAAGCAGGTGTTCACCATCCCCAGATTCTCCTCTGGAGCCCCAATTGGGAGGTGCTTTGCCCTCTCCTGGGTGACGGGTTTCCCCACCCCCGAACAGAAAAAATTGGGCCTCCGGAGGACGATTGAGAAGGATGGGAGATGCCTTCCTCCAGATATTGTTACCTCTCTTTGCAACTTTTAATGTGTCCTTCAACTTCCACATTACATTTTTATGGAGAAAACTGAATTATGATAGTGTAAAACAGGGAGAACGGGGAAGGGTATGCGGTGGCTCAGTGGCTAAGATGCTGAGCTTGTCGATCAAAAGGTCAGCAGTTCAGTGGTTCGAATTCCTAGTGGGTAAGCTCCTGTTCCTTGTCCCAGCTTCTGCCAAACTAGCAGTTCGAAAGCAGGTAAAAAATGCAAGTAGAAAAATAGGGACCACCTTTGGTGGGAAGGGAACAGCGTTCTGTGTGCCTTTGGCGTTGAGTTATGCCGGCCACATGACCACGGAGACGTCTTCGGACAACACTGGCTCTTCAGCTTTGAAATGGAGATGAGCAGCACCCCCTAGAGTCGGGAACGACTAGCACATATGTGTAAGGGGAACCTTTACCTTTACCTTAAAACAGGGAGAAATACTTTTCCCATACTTCTCCTGAGTCTATTACCTTCACTCCAAAGTAGAACATAGAGTGGGAAGGGAACCTTGGAGGTCTTCTAGTCCAACCCCCTGCTTAGGCAGGAAACCCTGCCCCACTTCAGACAAATGGTTGTCCAGTCTCTTCTTAAAAACTTCCAGTGTTGGAGCATTCACAACTTCTGGAGGCAAGTTGTTCCACTGATTTTTTTTTCCCAAATCATTTTTTATTTTAAAACAAAAAAAAGAAAAAGAAAAGAAAAAGAAAACATACAAACATCATTTATTAAATCAAGTACAGACAGTACATCAGTCAGTTTGCATCCCTAGTGCCCTCTCCTCTCTTCACAATATCACTACATATCCAAAATTTATTCTTATATAAAATATATCAGTTGTATCATCATTTAAAGTATTTCAACATTTACTTATATATCACCATTTTTTATTATCTACCCAATGGTAAAATAAATCCCATATCAAATAATATTGTTTTTCTTCCTGCTCTCTTATTTCAAATGTCAGTTTACTCATTTCGGCACAATCCAACATTTTCCTAATAATTTCTTCTTCTGTAGGTATCGTTTCTTCTTTCCAATTTTTAGCAAATACAATTCTAGCTGCTGTTAGAAGATTCACAATTAAATACTGCAGTTCTTTGTTATATATTTCTGGTAAAATCCCTAATAAAAATATCTCTGGTTTAAAGTCTATGTGTCTCTTGGTCATTTTTTCCAACCACATGTGTATCTTAATCCAATATCTCCTCTTTTTTTTATTTATTTATATGCTGCCCTTCTCCGGAGACTCAGGGCGGCTAACAAGGCGTTAAGCAATAGCCTTCATATTTTTGTATATTTTATACAAAGTCAGCTTATTGCCCCCACAATCCGGGTCCTCATTTTACCTACCTTAGAAAGGATGGAAGGCTGAGTCAACCTTGAGCCTGGTGAGATTCGAACCCTGCAGTAATTGCAGGCAGCTGGAAGCTTAATACTACCTTTAACAGTAGCATTAGTCTGCTGCGCCACTCAGGCTCCTTGCTTCTAGGCATGTCCCCCACATGTGTTAATAGGATCCTGGGGTCTGATGACATTTCCAACATCTCTCCGATTTGTTCTGGAACATTCTGGCGATTCTCGATGGGGATAAATGCCACCTGTAAAACATCTTATACACATTTTGCTTATATGCTGTAGACATTGTCATTTTATAGTTATGAGACCACAATTTTTGCCATTTTTCTAAATCAATCCCATAACCAAAATTTTCCCCCCATGCTACCATCGATTCTTTAACTTGTTCTTCTTCCAGTTTTAACTCTAGCTTTTTAATACTATGATCATCAGCTCCCATTAAAATCTTATCCAAATTAGTCAAAGCATTGTAAAACCCTTCTTGCCTACAATCTTCTCGATACCTAGAAAATATTTCCATATATGAAAACCAATCCATCTTAAATCCCTGTTCCTCTAGTTCCTGTTTTAATTTGAGTTCACCCTTTTCATCTAATAGTTCCCTATACCTGATAGTTTGTTCCTTTCTAAATATTACGGGATAAGAAAAAGCCTCTGCTGTGGATATCCAAACACGTATTTTCAAATAATAAAGTTTCTTAACCTTCTCCCAATTCAGCCATAAAGCTTCACGTCTTTGATGTCTTCTGAAATGCCCTTGTATTTTTGTTCCTTTGTACCATAAGAAAGCATGCCAACCCATCAACAAATCATGTCCCTCCAAATTTAATAGTCTAGTATTCCTCAGAGTTATCCATTCTTTCACCCACGTTAAACTTGCAGCTTGATAGTATCATTCAAAATTGGGCAGACCGAAGCCCCCCCTTGATTTAGCATCTTGTAACAGCTTTAACTTTATTCTCGCCTTTTTCTTTTGCCATATATATCTCGTTATCATTTTATCTAAGTCTAAACATTTCTTTATCCAACTTGATTGGAATTGTCTGAAATAAATACAGGATTCTAGGCAAGACATTCATCTTAATGGTTGAAATTCTA